GATTTGTCCAATCCATATTCGGTGCTGAGACTCAATTTGGCCAAAGCAAGTCACCGCTTGGGGAACGGATAGGCCACCGCGTCATCCTACGCCAGAAACCGGAGGGCCAGATGACCGAGCAATCATCACGCCCGAGTTCACCACGCGTGATAAAAGGTCAGCAGGTCAGGGCTCGCATGCCGTTCAACAGACCACGAAAACTCAAGAAAGCAATTACGGTTAATTGTCGTTGTATGTTTGCAGTAATAACTGTATCCTATAAATACTGCAAACTCCTGCGCATACGCTACCCTATCTGCTATCTGACTATGTCTCTGATAACGAATCCGCGATGGATTTCGAAACGTTAGGCGAATAAAAGTATTGTCCCAGCGATCGAGTCGTCTTCTTCTCAGACAGACTGATGAAGCGGCCGGTGCATGTGCACCCCTTGACAGCGGCAAGCCTTCGCGCGGAATGAGTTACCTCAAGTCATATACAGCCTGACAGTCTCTAGAGTAGTCTGTTTATGACCAAAACTGAAAGTTTAGTCGTGACTGCTTATATGTTATCATCCCGTTTTAGGCAGGAAAGTGCAGTAGGAACACCCCCCCTTCACTTGTGTCCAATCTCTGGCTGGGTAAACACCGTGCTGTCTCACCACTACCAATAAACCTCAACCCTAGCTCCTGATTTCCCCTAGGAGCGAGCATGAGTCCATCTGTATGACGGGCGGTCCCTGGTGCCATATCTTGGGGGTGGAGGCATACTACTAATCTCTATCGATATTCTTACTGTCCATATCGGATGGTTTCTTCCTCACATGTAGGCGGATAGCATTGCCAGCAAAGACAGGCGAGAATGGAATTATCATTTCTGGCTTATTGGCTGTCGTCAGCCAGTCATACCCAGATTTAAGTGGTGTCCCACCCGAGCCTCGAACTGGCATCCTTTTTTGATCAGAGTCTAACCAGTGAGCCACAAGCTTGTTGTTTTGCCGCTATAGGGGGGGATATTGACACTAGTTGATGAGCGTTTAGCGACCGCTAACGGAACCCATCTA